CACTCTTTGTCGCCCACAGCCAGTTCTGACCGTTTCCGGCGCGGCACAGGCCACTACAAAACGTGCCGACGGGACTGGCTATTGATGAAGTCAATTTACAGAATCGTTTCCGGTCAGACCGACAAGCTTTGTTGCTGTATAAGGACGCGTGACTGGCTAGGCTCAGTGCAGTAGGTCAGCAGTTGATTGAAGTTTTGAAGTAGAGAGAAAAAACTGCCTTGCGATATTCGTACTAGGTAAATACATACTAGGGTTGACTTATGAATGGTGGAAGCACCTCTGGCAAACATAGATGCAAGCACGTGCACGCACTTTGTTGTAGGTCCCATTTCATGCATTGGACTGTTTTCTAACCATCATCAGTTTCAAAAATCTAAGTGCTGCTAAAGTTACAGCTGATTTTTATCGCATCAGTTAATTTAAATAGCAGATATAGCCGCCTAATTGCATACTGTGTACCAATATGTCGTGTCCGGCGAACATGCACATGTTGTCAAATAACAAATGACAGGAATGCAAGATAAATGCGCAAATAAAAACATTTCAGTGCTTAATTGAATCATTCAGTCATTGGAAAGTAACATGCCATGCTTTACGTCGCTCATCCTCCGTCACATTTCACCAAAAACCAGTAGTGCTTCCAAACCAGCACGTTTACTTTCCTAGCATATTCTTCGGACGCGACATTGCGGTACAGTATGCATTCAGGCGGCTACATGCGGGAGAGGCGGCATTGCGGTACCGCAGCGTGCATTCAGGCGTTTGATGCTTTGGCCATCCAGCAAGTAAAAAGGAAACGTTCGCCATAGAATACCACGCATTATTGTCACTTGCACGGGCCGATCACTAGGCGATTACCGTCATTTAGGAGGGCGGCTCAAACTCTGTATTGCCCTCAAAATAAAAGCTGTCGGGCCAATAATGGTCATTATCCGCCCGACAGGTCATTAGCGCCCGACAGCTCAAATATGTTCAAATATATATTCTCATATGAATACCACAAATTATTTTAATGAAAATTGCGGTTATTGCAACTGAAAGAAGTAGGCGGTTCTGTACACACAGTTTTTGATTTATATTTTATTTACAATACTTGTCATAGACCGATGCACGACCGATTGCACATTTGATGCGTTTTCGCTATGTAATCGTACGGCGTACCTATCCTTACGCGTGAAAGTTCACATTGATAACGCAAGACCCGTTGAACGTTGCATTCGGGAGCAGTGACGACAGAGCTGTTCTCGCCGTTACCAGTTGCTGGCTTTGACGGACTTCCGATGGGTCAGGCACCCGATGTTCCTGTTCGTTCATGTTCAACCAGTCATCCACTTCCATCCCACCGATGGTCAGATTAAAGTTGGGCTTTTCTTCGCACAACCGTCGTGAGGTAGCAGGCCCTCCGTTCTGTATCACCGTGGCGCTGCACCCTGGGACTACACTTGCGGCTGTGTCGGACTGCCTGGTCATCGTTTGTGCCAATATCTCAGAGCAACGCCTTTTTTGAGGAACTGACATGTCGTCAATGTAATGTGAAAGGCTTGCGGTCCTTTTGTGTTTTGTTACTTTAACGATATCTTCAGCTGCCACTCCAGCTTGATGCAATGTCGTGACGGTGGTGGCACGAACGCTATGACATGTATAGCGTTGTGATAGCTTAGCGCTATCAGCTATCCTCTGCATGATTGTTGACAGGCTGTTCTTCCCCATTGCTTCGTTTCTGAACCAACATTCATCTTGCGTCCATGCTGTCTTTGGTGTTTGGAACAGCCTATCACTATTATGATTGATCTTTTGCTGGTACATCTTGAAAACTTCTACACCAGGCCCGTACATCCTCTGATCAGAAAAGTCTACATCTCCCTGCTTGCTTCCACCCTGATGGTTTTTTGTTGCTTCAGTTTTCGAAATAGTGACATATTCCTTTCCGTCTGGGTCTTCTCTGATGACGAAATGATCTTTCCTCATCTGAGCCCAACCTTCTCGACCTCTTCTCCCGAAGAAAAAGCAGAGATAGAACCATGTAGCCTGCAGGAGGATGGTTGGATTTGACGCGAAATCCGAGAGGTAGTCACCCAAGCGCTTCATATCGTCCTCTGTGATAGCAGCCTTATGCTGAGGCTTGGGGTTGCCTGCCTTTACGTACAGTTTGCAGCGAGCGTCAAAAATGTTGTTTGCTGCAATAAACTCTCTATCGGTTATGATGTTGATCGGTCTGCTATGTGGAGCGCTGGTCAGGCCAAGATACCTATAAGAAACAGGTAGATCCGATGTTTGAAAGTAAAGCCCCAGTCACAAATTTGACGCACCTGTGACATTTCCTGACACCCACGTGACTATTGTATTAACTTTTGTGTTTTGCGATGTTTTGACCTTATTTAAAGTACTGAAAGCTCAAAATGTATGATTAATGTTGTTTAAAGCAGCATATTAATAATTATGTTTGTAAATTATCGATAAGCTGCTTATAGCAGGTCACGTGATTGCTACCAGATTATGTGCTCAGAAAGCATCTTTTCAACTTCGATTTTGAACAATTTTTACCTCCTTTGAGGCCAAATGATGGACGGTTTGAGGTACACGATGAAATGCTGAATCTATTGATGCCAAAATTTGTTCGTTTTTTGCATTTTTAGACTAGTATATCCTGGCTCAAACTTTGACCAGTTTGTGTGTAAACCCTATGGTGAAGGGAAAACTTCACGCCCAGCAGACATAATTACAGTGCTGCCAAATCGTGTTTGGTGGGGGTCGGGTCAGGCAGCGATGGATGGCCGCACGAATGCAGGTCAGTGTACTGGGCGTTAGAGTTTCCCCCGCTTTCTTCGCCTTCACTTCAGCGTAGAACCTTCTTAGTAAACTACACAGTTCTTCATGAGTAACTTCCAAAATCGCATGCATGGTCTCTCAATGCAAGCCATTCATTAAGTTTCTTCATCCCATACTGAGTGGCCTTCGATGTGTTGTCAGGTACAACACTTCTTTCCAGCTCTATTGATTCACGCTCCGTTATTTCGCTATCCATCTGGCGTTTCCACGCGCAAAGGAGACAGAGCTATTATTACCTCAGAAGCTAAACCGAAAATGATGCACCGTTCGCTCTGACCTGCCTTATATACTCTAGTCGTGAGTGCTCGCCCTAAATTCCCGAAAAGTCACGTGCTTAACAATAACCAGTATTTTACATTCTCGCGCACTACGAAGTTGCTGACCGACCTCCAGAAGATTTGACTACAGCAAGCTATTGAGAAAATGGTTAATTATGAACTAGATAAGTGACAATAATACAAATAACGTGACTTTTGTCGGGCGATATGAGTTTTGAACGGCCCTTCACCATTATCAGAAGCCCTTCATGATACTTAGCGTCCCTCGCTACGCTCGGGCCGCTCAGCATCATGTCGGGCTTCTGATAATGGTGTCGGGCCGTTCAAAACTCATATCGCCCTCCAAAGTCACGTTATTGTACTATTATTAATGCAATCATCAAGAGTTTTGACTTTGTTTTAAGGAGCCGGGGCCGACACATCCTTATTCCTTATGCCATATCATTGTTCCCAGTTCCGTGCTGACAGGAGCGCCATTAATCGACGGCACCCGCAAAGAACAGCTTCAGTAGGTCCTCTACGATCTGACGGCTTTGCTTGCGATCTGAGGTTTCCTGTCCTTTCGCCTTCATTCTTCCTCAGCGGTTAGGTGTTCTTGTAACCAATGGCCGGAGATGCACGATAAATACACAAATAAACATATAATCATTCATTTCATAGCCGTTGACATTTTTTCTGCCTGAGGAATCGATAAATGCAGCTGGTAGTAAATGCAAACAAATCACCTAATTCAGAGGAACACTCCAGTATAAAACACAACTCACCGCATTCAGAGAAAGTGTGAAGTAAAGTAATGGATGGATTGCAACAATATCTTTAATTTTTGCTTAGACGCATAATCCGCACTTGCCGCTTGGGAAAATTTTGTTTACATTTTGCGGCCTTCAGTGACCATCGGCATAGGCGACGTCATTCGAGACAGCTCTCGCTGTTTTCTCCCACCATAAGACTGCTTTTGCATGAAGTGCTCATTATTGTAAGGTGTGTTTTGTGTTAACACGCGCAGTGGAAGGGTTGCGAGTACTACGCCCAGTGGAAGGGGGGGGGCGGATGTCGCCCCCCCCCCCTAAGATCTCAGCTCCCACTGGAGCTAGAAAGACGAAATTTGGAGGGTAGGTGGGGGCCATGGGGAACTCTGTTGTGTGTGAATTTCATGACCCTAGGTCAATATCTTCAAGGTCAAATGAGGTCAAATGTGGTCAAATCTGCCATATTAGCGACTTTTTTTCGTTTACACGCCGATAACTCAAAAAGTTACCGGCCGATTTTTTTAAATCTTTCACTATACGAAAGAACAAACATTTGTAAGTATGTATGGTGAATTTCTAGATAATCCAACAATAAATATGGCAGTTAGAAGCCTGCTAAGGGTAAGATGTCGCCGGCTGAAGCGGGATCGGCCGACGCGGGAAACGCGGCAATCACAATTTTGTGTTTACACACTCATAACTCAAGTTGTTACCGGCCGATTTTCAAAATTCTTTGACCATATGATTGCCTGTAAATTTCTCAGTCTTCTCACCGAATTTGACGCGAATCTAATATAATCAGCGGTAAGGAGCGCGATGTAAAGACGGAGTCACGGAACCGTCCCGCCCCGGCACAGCCTACAATTCAGGCGGCGCGTAACGGCTAGCGCCGGCCGCCGCGCCGCCGCGCCGCCGCGGCGGCAGGATGTTTGACTTTACACCGCTATTACTAGAAAAGTTATGAACCGATTTTCTTACTTCTTGCACGAGAAGATCCGCAATTCAATTCTGGACAGGTAGCCGAAATTTCACATTGATATTATGCTTGCGGCGCGAGTTATTGGCGAAAAACAGGAGGGGTGGGCGAAATCCGCCCCCCCCCCCTTCCACTGCGCGTGATTGTGTGGTGTGAGAATTTTCGTGAATGTCACGACGTGCGGGCCAAGCCGCCCGTGCGCGGAACACGGCTGCCCAGCGGCGGCGCCGTGAGCGTCTGCGCCAGGCCCTGCGTAAGGCCGAGGCTCTGCGCCTGGCCGGCGAGCGTCCCACCGAACGAGAGGAGCAGGCGGCCCGTACCGCCGAGGACCTAGCTAGGCGGGACCGCGAGCGGCAGCGGAAGCGACGCGCAGCAATGACAGACGACAAACGGGAGGCAGAGCGGCAGCGGAATCGGGACCGGCAGCAGCTGCGCCGCGTCGCGATGGCTGATGCGGCGCGAGCAGCGCAGCAGCAGCGCGAGAGGCAGCAACAGCGGGAGCGGGCTGACAACCTGGAAGTGGATGAGGGGGCGGCCAAGCGTGCTGCCGCGGCGGCCGCGGCGGCGCAGCAGTGGAGGCCGGCGCGTGAACGCGGCAACCGGGCCGCCTGCGATGCGGAGGACGTGCTGGCCGGCCGGCAGCAGGTTTTCATTCATCATACCAAACCAACCATACTGCACTTCTAATGTGAGAGTTACCACCCCACCTACCTGTATTTAAGCTTGTCTACAATATCAAGACGCTTCTTGCTTCAAGAAGTTCTGGAGAGCATTTGATTGGCAAGACCAAGCATGCATGTATGTTCGAGCATGAGACGGAAACATGGGAGGGTCGGGTACAAATGTACGGCACAGGCCACAGTGGCAAAGGTGCTAAGTAAGAGTTCGATTGTGTCGTCGGCCGCTATGTTCATAATGGACATTTTGTTGCGAATGTCCGGCAGTAATGTTAAGTTGACATGTGAGTGAATTAGCCATTTAATTTACACAAAAAGTGACGATGCGATGACAATAGAGAAATGCTAGCCGGACCTAGATTAGAGCCGCTCCAACCCAAGACTCACAGCCGGTTAGCAACACATGTCTGGAGGTTATATGGCCTTGGTCTAGGTCGTGTTGTGAGCAATCAGTGATGCTGATTAGCCTGATCAGCATATACGTTACAACGGAACATCAAGGTGCGTGTTCGTCTCTTGCATGGAATGAATAATTCACGTTGGCAAAGGCAAATAGAGATCTGACAAATTTCCGGTTTGTGATGAGAGTGAAGTAGTTCAAAGGGTGACCTAGCGTGTAACATGCGTGTGGCGTACTTATCTCTCGTAAAATATATTGATGTATTTCAGGGATGCGCAATCTTCAGAATATTATATTTCTACGGATACTGAGGTACAGAATGGCGTATTCACGAGTGTGTTTATTTAGTACATATCTTTAGGTACTGAATAAACAACCATTGTTATGCATACCTATCATTAAAAGGTAGGCATGTATTACTGCCTTATCAAATAAGTGGGGTTTGTACTTTGCCGTAGCACAGATGAAACGACATCCAACCCAGAGCACATTTTTAACTGATTTTGGTGCAGATATTAGTGAGAGCTGGATATCGAACAAAACAATTTCCAAAAACTACTACGCATAGTCGGCAATGGGAAGAAGCCAATGCTATTGTCTTGCGGCTATAGCAGCATTTACGAATACTAGCCAGTTGGCTTTGACAATGGGTGAAGGTATTCATTTAAGAAGAAAAAACATTTGGTGAATTGATATTTGAAGGTAAGGTGTGCGCTATGCACGATGCACGCCGAGCCATTACCATGATGTTAGGGCCTCAAAATATGTATATATATAGGTACGTTTATCATGTAAAACTGAATGTTGTTAGGAAACCTTTAAACTCGAGATTATTCATTCAGAAATGCTCCAGCCTCCCTGCTATACTATATAGAGGCCGTACGCAGCAAACATGGACTTTGTATGTACTCAGCACCACGGTAAAGAGGATGAACGGCCAATCGTTTTGGAACAAATGATCGAACATCATCGTTTGCATAGTGACGAGCGGATGGAGTACCATCGCCGCTCTCAAGTGTAATCCTCCTTATACTATGGATTCCAGCTTAGTGGCAGTTTGACCGTAACGTGGCCGTTTACGCCAATATGTGAGCGTTTAGCGTGACCCGGAATACCATATGGTCGTGGTGTAGGCATTGGAAATCGTTTGATAAGTGATCGGAACCCTTTGGCAGCGCTCTCAGTAAACAAAGTGATTAATGTAACCGCAAGACCAAACATAACATTACTTCGATCGGGTATACGTACTATACCACGCATTGACATAGTTCCGTACCAAAAACTTCCTTTTCTTATATTGTGTGAGCACTGAGCGCTGATCAACTGCATTGGCATTCACCTATTTGTCTATTCGTCTATTGCATGAAGGTTAGGGTGCATCAAAATACACATCATAAGTAAATCGATTAGCTCTAGTGATAGAAATGTTCCATTACACCTAGAAACACAGCATGTGAAGTTTTGTGACAATCGATAATTATTTAGACATCCATCCGAGCTGATGTTTCCGTCAGTAACTATACCGCACGGTACGGCGCACGGGGCGTGACGTCTAAATGCGGCACCAGGTGGCGTTAGCGGTTTCTTGCTGAACATTATCATGGCAACCGATATGTTTGGTGTCAGCTGATAGTTGATTGTTCACGTAAAACGATCTGAGCGATCAGAAGGCCAACGGGGGTGCGTGTTTGCTCTGCTGAAGGGACACCGACAGAGATACCTGGTGTAAGTCCATGAGTGGTTTCCGATTCTATGATTTGTATTACTCTACCGCTGCGTTATTTCTTTTTCACTTTGCTATAACGGAATTTTCATGAAACGTAATGACTGTGTCCGTGAAATGTTATGTGAAATATAATCTCGGCTTTGTCACAGCATATACGTCCAGCAAAACTTTGACGAGATCAGGGGAGAACTTTTCAGCGGGAGGGGGAACGGAGTATGGAGCCCAAAGATGCCTCGATGCTATTTTGATAAGTGAACTGAGACCTTGGTTATATCCGCCAGGGACGCGGGAACAGGGGGAGGGGCTATGGAAGTAACTCCACTTCCCCGTACCTTTGACAAAATTAACATTAGCCCCATGGCGTTGCATGACAATACCTTGAAATTCGCCCCCCTCCCCTCGCCACATACAGACACTCACACACTGAAGCATTTCCACCTCACACATATCCACTACAGTCAGTAGCAGGAGTGTCGTCGACGGGAGGGCCCTGAGGGACAAGTGGAAACTGCTGATGGAGGACAAAACCATCCCGCTGTCGCAACACTCACCTGGCGACGCCGAACCGGCCTTTCTCGGAGAACTACGTGCTGAGTTCCTCTCGTGTGCCGAAGAAGTGTTGAACTTCAAGCGAGGCGACTACCGTGAGTTTGTGGACCTGTATCTGCTGTACATCGGTGACGCGAAAACCCCAGAGCGACTTCAACGGTTGGGGGCGCTGGGCAAAGCGAGATGGATGGCGAAGCTGCTGTACAGTCTCAAGCTGACCCTGATGGAGCAGCGCATCACAGCCCTCCCTCGGGGTGCCATCACCACGACCCTGCAGACACAGAAGGCACTAGCGGCGGAATACCTTCAATTAAAGGGGGGGGGGGGCACTGCCGACTTTTGGTCCCATTCTTTCCATGCAACGCCCATAGGGCTTATGTTAAAATGCCAAAATCAAAGGGGGGCACGGTGCCCCGGTGCCCTTCCCGTTCCGCCGCCTATGACAGAACTAGGTGAAGGCGTTCGCCCAGTTCGTCACGCATATATACGCGACGTAGTGGCTGACGTGCGACAGACTAGTGGACGCCGCCTGGAACGACCTGCAGCTCCATCGCCACCTGCAAGCGTATAAGTCAGTCGACAAGGGCATCGCAGTCAGCTATCAAGGCATTGGGAAGACACCTCTGGTACTTGACTGGTGATATGCTGCCTCTAGCACTCTTCAGTGATAAGGTTCCGGCCGCCGAACGACGCGCACTCGCAGACGCCATCATGGAGCACAGGCCAGCTGACCTCCCAGTGCGAGTCCCAAGAGAGCGATTCGGCGCTGACTTTGGCAAGCGAAAGTTCCCAGCCCTCTCACCGTCCAGCTGGCTGGCAGACCTCGCCAACGCAGACTGCTGGTTCGGCATACAGCATCTGCACATCGACCCAGCGTTCCTCGCCCTCAGCACTGAGGACTGGGTCACCAACGCAGCGTTTCAGGCGGGATTGGCAAACGTGTAGGCCATCAACACCGTCAACGACTGTGCCGAACGGGGTGCTAAACTGGCATCCGACTTCGTGGGAGCTGCAAAGAGCGAGCAGCACCTGCAGAATGTGCTGCAGGCTGTGGACTGTGGAGCATGACCGTCCTCTGCAGCCAAATATTCGTCGCTCCAAGTGCAAGATGGCAGAAGCTAAGAACTAAGGCAGCGGCCAGCGTGGCGCAGATGTAATGGCTGACAGCCGCAGACCAGGCAATGGGCTTCTCCCCACAGCTTGCTCCGCTTGTTACAGTGTCACACTCCAACGCCAGTGCAGATCTGAACGAACGCGGATACGCTGTTATATGTGATAATAACTGATCTCAAACTGATGTTTGGAATGCATTATGTTCGAAATATATGTTTTTGTGCATGTTAGTTCTCGCCATGGATGTCGAAAGTAAGCAGATTTTTACAACCGTTTTTCGCTATTTCGGACTCAATAAATGCAAAAAAAGACATTTTTCTTGAGATTTGTCGGGGTCGGATGGACGTCTAAATATTTATCAAATTTCGTGAAACTTCGTAGAATCTTATTTTTTGTGCATTGGAACAAAATGGTAACTAGAGCTAATCGATATTTTGATTTTTAATTTTTGCCTTATAATTTGATGCACCCTAATGAAGGTGTTAAGTACCGTTTAATGCTCTTTTTTAAAAGAAACATATTTACCAAAGAAACACGATTAAAAGTCAGACACACAGTTTATAAAATACACTTTATTAGCCATACATTCAAAATTCCATATCCAAGTCCAGTAAGCACAAACACTGAGCGTGGCGTTGTTCTACATATATACTCTTAACGTGACCATGTACGTAATATGTATCTTCGCGAACCATCTTTCTGTCACTTTACACTACAGACACACACTGCCTCAAGACGGTTCACAGTGCCAGACAGTCGCCAAACAACAGAGCATCTAATGAGAAAACTTTGTGCAAACAGGTAGAACCTCGATCAACACAACAGCCAGAGCGCACGTGAACCTTATACGGAAACATTTCGGCCTACCTTGGAATGCCACGAAATGAAAAAATTCCGAAGTTGGCATGATAATGAAACTTATGTGAATATTCACGAGTTGCTGCGTTGCTGGTTTCACTGGAAAAGCATTTCATTCAAATAAAAATAGGCAACTTTCCTTTCTGTTTTCTTGAAATATTTATTGATGGTAAAGCCGTCTTGTTTGCGAGCCTCACGCCACGACGGGCGGCTTGCAGATGTGGTGGTTGGCACAGGCGTCGTAACAGCACTTGTCGCTGCTGGCGCACTGGCCGTCGTGCGCGCACCTCCGGAAGAAGTCTCCGTTGGGACAGATGAGCCGGGCCGGGGGACACTGACCGCCGTGGATCTCCGCTGTCGGTCACAGGTCAAAGGTCAGAGGTCACCGTGTGACACTAACGAGCGGCAGCCGCCTCACACCCGATCATAGGTCAGTGAAGGGCGCGACGCAGACGGAATAGGAAGCCGGTGGTATTGGCACAGGGTGAAACCATCGAACAAGCAGAACAAAGGATAGGTACTCACTCAAAATATATTTTTCATTTAAGGTGTGAAAAATAACACAAAAAAGACAATAAAACAAAGTGATATTATGCGAGAAAGCTACTTGAGAACCCGATATAAAATGCTTGTTAGAAAGCAGCTAAAAAGACGTGCATAAATGTATCGGCTCGACGGCTATACACAGCACAGAGTCAGTGCTACGGCTATCGGTCTTTACCCTCGCACACAAAGGAAGAATCCAACGTCCTAGCCCTGACACCGCCATTCCAGCCGCAGCTAATCTACTCACGGGGTCCACCGCGGTTCTTTCCGTAATCGCAGCAGTACAGCTGGCCAGTGCTGCGGCGACACGTATAGAGGCACGTGCTGCTCTCGGCAGTAGCTTGCGCGATCGGACGGTTGTTGACCACCTTCTGGCCGGCTGTGGAGAGGTCAGAGGTCAGGTCACAGGTAGAACATACATAAGAGGTCAATTCAGAATCAAAATAAATCAAACGTCAATGTAGATGGATGGGTTCAGTTAAGTGGTCAATGGTCATGTCAAATCAGAAGACCTGTCAGGGATCAGGTAGGGGTCGTGCAAGAGATCATGCTTGAAGTCAGGTCAGAGGTGAATACAGAGGTCAAGTTAGAGATGAGATGAGATGTCAGAGGCCAGGATGTGGTCAGATGGGGGGTTTTGTAAGGAGTCAGGTCAGATGCCAGTAGAGAGGAACAGGTCTAGGTCAGATGTCAGGTCAGCGTGGGTCGACGTCAAGTCTTGGGTCAGGACAGGGGTGAGGTTTGACGTCAGGCCAGGGGTCAGGTCAGAGTTTAAGTAATGTTTTAGATCAGACAAGACGTCGGGCTAGAAGGCAGACTAGATGAATGACTGATCCGCTGAGCACTGACCAGTCCTCGAAAACTTCGAGACCTGCACTGCCATCTGGCGTCAACGGACACACACTAACGCTACAGATGGCGCTACTGAGGATAGCCCACTCCAACCGCCTCGCCACCGTTTACGTCCTCTCTGGCGTTCCACTTACTGACGATACCCGTCTCCGGGTCGTTGGTGTTAACGATCACCACTCCCTTGTTTCCAGCGTCGACGTTCACCAGCGTACCCTCAACATTCTGCTGCAGCTGGCTCGAGTTGATGTTCACCTGACGCGAGAAAAACATGAGTTTAGCGACGGCGACGAGTTTTGCACGTTGTGCAACGGTCCCACGGAAGCTGTGTGAAAAGGAAGTCAGATGAGCTGAGAAAGGCATATGGCGCACACCTATATCATCGAGTTACTGTAAGTTGTCAACCCCAGGCTCTGCTCGGTTCACAGAGATTCGGTTGCTGGAGATTTGCTGGCTTCAGGCTCATGTGGTGCTCCACTAGCCTATTGGAGTCCATTGCCTTGGAATATATTGCCTATTAGAGCTCTTTTAGAGCAGTGTTGGAATTTGTCGACCTGACACTGACCTGATTGTTGGAGCTCTGCTCGCCCGAGCCGGCACCGCCGGCACCACCGCCAGCCGCCTGCTGCAGGGCGTTGATGACCGCCTGGTTGTTGGTGGTCTGGGTAGCTCCACCGAGACCAGACTGTTGCTGGACGGACACCGCACTGGCCTCGCCCTGGTTCGTCTGAGTGTTGCCGGTCGAGTGCTGGTTACTGGTGGCGCTCGTCTGACCTGTGAAAAAGCCGCAGTTGTCATGGACGGCACTGATTAGGCACCGAAACGATGGCGACATAGTGGCGATCTATTTGCAATGTGCAATGTGCACAATGTTGTGGTGAACGGCGACCTCCTTTTTTGCACGTTAAAAAAGCTAAAAATGGTCATGTACGTACATTGCGCAAGTTATTTGTGCGACTAGAGATGTCACAAGCGGGTGAACAGAAGTTGTGGGAAGAAACGTGAGTCGCGAACTACCTACGCTTGCCATCCCATGACGAGCATTTACAAGACACGGTCAAACCGGATAAATGCAGTCTCGACGTTATGACTCGGATTTATGAGCTCAAAAACAGCTTAGTCAGGATTACTGGACTCGGCGCTTCCAGGTAGCATCATAATGGCCTTACCCAGATGATGAAATAAGTGAAATAACTGATAATGTCGTGGTCGTTATGGCCTGCCATAATCGTGAAGATTTATTAGGATACCTTTGAATTTTGACAATGCGGAAAATTGAATCGTACGTCGGTCATCAACAGGCAGCGATCGCTGCTCGGCGGTCAATGGACAGAGCCTAAAGGCGATATTTGTATTTTTTATAGTAAAATGCTATTGACATTGATAGCATAGGCGGCGGTGCAGCTGTAAGCTAATGTGTGAAAGCGGTATTGACGGCATAGACGTTACTTTCATTTCTTGCATTAGGCGGTATGCATGGTGAAAGACAAGAGCAATATTAGACGGTATGTAAATTTTAACCGAATTAGCCACGAAGACGTGGTTGGTGGACGGTGGACGGTGGACGGTGGACGGTGGGTAGTGGACGCCGGACGGTGGACGGTGGACAGTGGGCGGTGGGCGGTGGGCGGTGGACGGTATGCGGTAGTGGGTGGATGATAACGTGGTAGAAGGTGGACGGTGGACGCCAGACGGTAAGTACTAAGTGGTGGGCGGGGAATGGGGGTTACCTATCCGTGCTTCTATCCTCAGGAGACTGAAATCCTTTTCCTCCACGCCGCAACCCCCCTCCGGGCTGGACAGGCAACTTTATCTCATGCGGGCTGCTCCCTTGGAGCGGCACCGCTGCTCCCGAGGGAGCGCACCCCGTAGCCGGGTGCAGTGAGTGCCTTGGGGCTGGGTGGCCTGTCCTCTGGACGGGCTCAGCCCCGACGACTCACTAGGGTGCCTGCCCAGACCAATGCCTCCCCCTAATTCCTATCATCCTTCCGGCTCTGCAATGGTCTTGTCGACCGAAAGGGCCTAACCCAACAAAACAAAAATGGGGGGACGGTGGACGGTGGACGGTGGACGGTGGGCTAGGGACGGCAGACGGTGGACGCCGGACGGTGGACAGTGGACGCATGTAGATGATAGACAGTTGACAGTGCACAGTAGATGGTGGACAGCGGAGAGCAGATAATGGAAACGGCCTGCCCCCCCCCACCCCCACCCCCACCCCCACCCCCACCCCCACCCGCGCCCTCGATAAGCGATTGTCCCAAAGAAGTGCTAGCTACCGACGTTACCGATAAATACGAAACTTCGGCCAATAATGCAATCACCCATCTACCTCATTAAGTTCTATTATTTACTAACATATTCATCGGTGACCCTCCCCAGCCCCATCCCAAATGTACGCAGATGAGACAGGCGATAGTGAGAATAATACGACAAACAGATGACAGAGAGCGGGATAAAGAAGATAAGCAGAGGACAAAGGAGGGAAGACAAGCGGACCGATGAACAACCGGACGAGCGGATTTCGAATTGCGGATTACAAGATAAACCCTATATGGTGGCAGGCTATAGACAACAGACAACAGATGACACATGGCCACACCCCTAGACATCACTTCTTACATAGCACACAGACAGACAGACAGACCGACACACCGACAGACCGACAGACAGGCCTCCGACAGACTGACGAAACACCGACTGGGCGGGGCTGATGGGCAGACAGCAAGTCAGGCAGACAGGCAGACAGGCAGACAGACAGACAGACAGACAGACAGACAGACAGACAGACAGACAGACAGACACAGACAGACCAACAGACAAACAAAGAAACAAACAAACAAACAAACAAACAAACAAACAAACAAACAAACAAACAAACAAACAAACAAACAAACAAACAAACAAACAAACAAACAAACAAACAAACAAACAAACAAACAAACAAACAAACAAACAAGCAGACTGACAGGCCGACCAACCGATAGCACGTACCGAACTGAACGCTGCCACCAGGAGAGCTGGACGGCCGCCTGCTGCTGCCGTGGGTTCCCGGTGACCAGCGGTTCTCGACGAAGGTGATTCGTGACGACGACTGACCGCCGCTGTTGCCGAAGGGCAGTGACGCCGCGGAGGCGACGACCGTCGCCAACAGCAGGTGACGCATCACACAGCCTGACGTCATCTGAGGACATGAACGACGGGACGGTGAGGTGGGAACTGCGATAGAAGACTATGTAGAGCGATAACCGTAAAGTTATGTACGAGAAGCTGAGAACTGAGAGGCTACTGAATTGTACTAAGGCACTATTACCTAAAGACTGATGTTCTTGCTGGAATAATTAACACAGTTTATAGGTATATAACACAGTCGGGCAATGGTCGAATAATTGATATAGAATTATATATCGATTCTAGAATATTCACTGATTAAAACAGTGTATGTTCCCTTCCACATATTTGCTATGCATTTTAGTGGTTATTTTTTATCGTCGTCTTTCATCGAACTCCATCCCACTTGTGCCGAAAACGACAACTTCTTCAGGACAGGCCCATTCGCATACTCGGGTGACACGGCTCACCCGACCGCCGGCGCTGGGACTGATCCCATCTGCACGGAACAGAACAGACGCCGACTCTGACCTCGCCGCGCAGTCACGTATTAGCGGAGTGCTCCCTCGTGCGCACGTGACGAAGCCACGAGAAGGGCCGCGGGCACGTTTTTCCCACCTGACGTCGGGACACCTATGACGCAACAATGCACGTCTCGTGGGCCGGGGAAGGGCGGTCGTGCCCCGTTCCGGTGCGGCGGAAACCTGCCTCCAACAAAGACCAACCGCCAACAGCGGATGTGAGATAAAGCAACAGGTAGGCCTCGGAACAGCAGCTACGTTTGCAGGGACGGACAAAGGCCGACGGATTTATCGTCCATCGCAGCCGGCTTAACGAGCCGGATTTAAATGTTCCGAGGGCCGATAGGATGACGTCAGGGCCGTTATGACCAGCTCGCACGCAGCGCTGTGCTGGTGGCATTGTTGGTCAGGCACATGCCAGGCACACGCCTCTCCCCCATATATGTAAGTACGTACGTGCAGGACCGAGATTTGGGGAACGAGACCTCCTAAACGAGACCTAAAATATAAAATGACGACACAAACACTGTGTGTCTGTTTGGTAGTTATATAGCCCTATTTTGTAAATTCTGGTCAGTCACTAACCAAGTTAGGCTTTCCGCCTCATAAAAGTAATCAGCAAGAAGTGCCGCTGATCGCTATCTACCGGCTTCAAGATCAGCCTCATAAATGGATACCTTGACCCCAATATTGCGAGCCACGCTGTGCCACCGAGCCGAGCAAGATGTGCTGAGCCAAGCTCAGAACATCTGCATACCTACAATGCCACCGCGATGGCCACATGCGAGGTGCGATGCCGCTAAAAGCCGTTCGTGTCCAGATATGACACAAGGTCAGCCAAGTCTCGGAAGACGGGTTATTGTAAAACATCGCTGGATTATATACTCGCGGTACCAGCCTGTGGTTGAGCGTCACTATTGCCATGAAACAGAGCGAGCACGGGTCGCGGTGACATTATGCCTTTGTGATCATCTATCTCTACGAGGATAATATGAAACTAGGTACGTGAGTCAGTTTTTGAAGTGCCCTTAGACATATTATCAGGTACTTTCTTCCTAGTGCCTACGTCATCACTTTTACGGGCCAAACATAACAAGTTGCTTTATAATTATTTTATATACATAGTTACTTTGGCTGTTAGAAAGCCTATAAAATCGTAAGCTGTGACAGTGTTCTTGAACATTGACGTGAATATCAACCATGGATTAGGTATACACGTCGTGTAATTTTGCTGACCACCATGACGCCTGCCGAATCGTGGGATATCCCATGTGAATAAGAATGGATATCATGTAGCGAAAATGTGGAAGCACGGATGTTTATTGTTTACAAATGCCAAATGGCGTGTCATCCACGTCAATGCGGTACCCCATGCAGTATCTCTGAATTAGCAGGAATCACATTGGAAATCCCAGGCTCTCCGCAGCAGCGGCGGCTCAGAATTACAACGCCCGGCGTGACCGCAACTGGCTGCTCTTGGAAAGTCAATCAGGTCAGATATGATGTTACGCGAGTAGTGGCGTGTTTCCAACCAGAGTCGTGCTACAGAGCTGGGGTTAAGCCATGGCGGGGCCGCCACGGAACACATCAGAGCGACATAAGCAAGCATTCCCGAATGAGGTAAGCCCTGTGAATGGTGGCCTAGAATCGGCGACAAGGGTGTAAATGATGCAGGAATGATAGTCATATGGCAAACTGTACATTTTAGCTACAAGTTAAGTCGGTGTAAAATCGCATCTCACGACACATTACTGGTTTTGTGAGGTATTTATAGGATTAGAGATGGCATAGTGGACTTGCTGGAAAATCTGTGATGGATTTAGATAACAGATAAGCTGATTAGCCTGTACATGACTGAGGTGAATATATATTGGCATGTCGCAGTGAGTTATTCTCGGAGACAAAAAAAAAACGAGCTGGGTTATAATTCGAGCTGGCTTGAATTTGACTACAAAATACTTATTGTCCCTGTTATGGTTAATATTGAGATCACTCAATAAGATGCACTTATTCGTAAGATTCATAATGAGAGAAAATGAACTTATAAAACTTATACGTAACTGATACAATGCTAAGGGTATGTAATTTTATCCATCACCTACGTTCGAAAAGTTAACGCCGTTCTAAAGCAACAGACCGAGTAGATTTATTCATTTTAACGAGGGGTATAACGATTCGCATGTTTGTAGTTTTGCAACAATTTGTGAATGCAAGTTTGGACACATTCAATTGGTTGCAATATGTATTGCAGGCTAACTGAAATCACTATACAGCTATGATAAATTTCCCAACCATTTTACTTATTCATGGGAGTAATTGCACCCATATATATCCCTGCTAGACCCTATCAACAGACCTCTGCATTCTGCAATCTACATTTACCATTATACCTCTATGAAGGTATCTGTATGTGATATCAGAGTACTATGACCTGAATCATATCAATAAAACGCTTTTTGCGACACAATTTGGAAGCGAATGGTGCTCAATGTCATCAAAGTTATGAATATGAGTGATATGAATGGGACGTTATGGAAATGAATTAGAATCGCCATGCGTTAGGTATATTTTCACAACAGAATTGCACATCTGGGAAAGTCTCAAGATGTATGCAATTGCATGAATTATGCATTGTACATACCTACAGTGTAGGTAAGTCACGCACAGGGAAGTCATGAGCTGTGGGAGTATAGAAAACATGTGTACTTGCTGTCAGTCTGGGAAAGAATTATCTCCATGGCAACCACGTCCAGTGACCCAAATCAGCACACCCGTCCGTCTTATGAATAATACATGCACGCTCACCTTGAACCACGAGCCGTTGTCCAGCGGGCTCCTCAGATTCTCACACGTGACTTCCACGACTGCTCACTCCGACCACCTGGTGACGACTGGGTGCCGGGCGGCGGAGGCCTCTCCTATAACCGGCTGCCGGGCCTCGGGCGTCGCGCCGAGGCTCGGGAAGCCCGCTGGAGCGGCGCAGAGCCGCCGGTGCAGTCAGGTGGGGATTCCAACGGCGGCTGGCTCCGCAGCGGCCCCAGGCCGAGCCGAGCCGAGGTCGGCGGCGCTGACGAGGTCGCTATGCTCTCAGTGTACGGCGGAACGGCGCCGGGGTTTCGGGGTAGAGGCGGTAAAGTTCCTGATGGTCGGTGAATAAGACTGGAGTTTGCGTCAGACAGCTGGTTCAGGGTTAGGAGTATTGTGTGAATGTGGTCTCCGTGAAATGATGACATTGAAGTTTGGCAGATAGATATCTGCGAGGACAAGGTTATTAGACTGAAAGAGTAGAATGGTCAAAATAACCATTCTACATGCTTACGATTTGTGATAAATTTGATTTGTGTGAGGTCCGTTGAAGAACAATGACATATTCAAAGCAAATAAAAAAGCTGGGCAATAAGGTATTGCCTTCACGTTTTTTTTTACGCGCGTTTAATAGCCTGTCTGCAACAGCCTCTGGCATCATTTTCCTTGGTATCTCAGTCGAAGACGAAAGGTATTTATTTTATGCCAAAGTGCAAACGATTAAGGACACAGCTGCTGCATAAAAGTACCTATAATTACGAAGCGAGCGAAGCGAGCGTAGTCTTTTTACGGAGCGAGCGAAGCGAGCGTAATTACGGAGCGAGCGAAGCGAGCGTAGTCTTTCCTTAGATTAACGGAAATTTCTGAGTATGAGCGGCCGGCCGTGCGGACGCTTTTGCGAGGCTTATATCTCAGCAACCACTTGACCGATTTACATGCGGTAAATTTTGTAGGGTAGCTTCATTCCTTCTGCCAAGTATTGGACTATTCCCGATGCATGTGGGTGACCCCTTATGCACGTGCCACGTGCAAAACGAAGAGGTGTCAGTTTTGTAATTGTTGCAATATCTCGGTAACTACTTGGCCGATTGCGCTGAAAGTTGGCATGTAGATAGGCACCCACTAGGCACTGCATATCCATGTGCCAGAGTTGGGGTGCTGCTGCACGTGCGCACGTGCAGGGGTCGTTTCCAGATCTCGAGAACGGCTGGACCGATGGCGCTCAAATTTGGTACGCGGTTAGGGACCAGTTAGTAAGGTGCCGTGCACAAGTCAGTTGGGACCCATTTTGCACGTGCGCACGTGCAGGGTGCCGCTTCCAGATCTCGAGAACGGCTGGGCCGATTGTGCTCAAATTTGGCACATTGCTGGAGACCAGTTAGTAGGGTGCCGTGTACAAGTCAGTCAGAGGTACCCCCTCGCAATTTCGCACGTGCAAGGCCCACCCTCTCGCTCGCTCCGTTAGTCGCCCCAAAAGGCGTTATACTGGTTAGTCTTTCCGATTAACGGAAATTTCTGAGTACCTATGAGCGGCCGACCGACCGGCCGGCCGTGCGGACGCTTTTGCGAGGATTCTATCTCAGCAACCACTTGACCGATTTACATGCGGTAATTTTTGTAGGGTAGCTTCATTCCTTCTACTAAGTATTGGGCTATTCCCGATGCATGTGGGTGACCCCCTTATGCACGTGCCACGTGCAAAACGAAGAGGTGTCAGTTTTGTAATAGTTGCAATATCTCGGTAACTACTTGGCCGATTGCGCTGAAAGTTGGCATGTAGGTAGGCACCCACTAGGCACTGCATACCATGTGCCAGAGTTGGGGTACTGCAGTACGTGCGCACGTGCAGGGGTCTATTCCAGATCTCGAGAACGGCTGGACCGATTGCGCCCAAAGTTGGTACACGGTTAGAGAGCGGTTAGTAGGGTGCCGTGCACAAGTCAGTTGGCCGTTGGGACCCATTTTGCACGTGCGCACGTGCAGGGTGCCGCTTTCAGATCTCGAGAACGGCTGGGCCGCTTGCGCTCAAATTTGGCACATCGCTAGAGACGGGTTTGTAGGGTGCCGTGCACAAGTCAGCTGGAGATACCCCCTCGAAATTTCACACGTGCAAGGCCCACCCTCTGGCGCTCGCTCCGTTAGTCGCCCTCAAAGGCGTTATACTGGTAGTTACAGAAGACGACAAAAATGTTTATAGCCAATGAACGAGCTTAATTGTGCCTGCCTCAGCTAACCAGTGACTGGGAAAAATAACTGATGACAATTTTACTTCGTTATATAAAAGTACAATTTGCTTGCTATATAAACAAATATGCTTACATAAATTGCAATCAATTATGTATCTGTAACCGCGGATCTTTTTTTTAACCGCCACTAGACCGGGGCTGTTTAAACACCCACCCCACCCCCTTCTAACTCGACTTCTGGGCCACGTAGAGACACGCGGTAAGCGGCATTCGAAAGAGCATCAAAAACCGTGGCGAAAACACTTTTTGTCATTTTTTATGGCAGATCAAGGACCAGATCACCACAGCTTATCAAAGGTAAAAGGTTACTTTTTTCAACACTTTTTTCGGAAAAAACGGCGCTTACCTCGGGAATTTATAGTGCTACGGCGCCGTGGAAAAGCGCATTCGATAGCCCCTTGTAGAGGAACACAGCTGTTCAGACCCAATTACCGTACACCCCTTAACGTATTTCTTATCAAAGCTCTCAGATTTGATTTTGGACTAATTGTTTAGTATCCAGAGGGCAAAAACTAAAAAATAGCCGTTTTTATTTAAAAAAAAAATGTTTGTTTTTTCTGTAGTGACTTTTGAGTCAAGAAGGGCACGTCAATTATTTTGTCAGCATCGTGTTCCTCTCGTCGAGACGCGTCGAATGAACTATTAATTTTACATCGAAGGGTCGTTTTCAAAATTTGACCTAAGGTCAAAGTCATAAACCGGAAAAGTAATGTTGCATATCAGGCGATCCGTATCGTCGACCTCTGAACACATCACATCTTTATAGCTGTTTTCATCGCTCTAGCGTGTCTCTATTAAAAGTTATTGTCAAAAAGCTGCTGGGGACCTTTTGTGACTTGAAAGGACTTCGTGGATTTAAGGAGGAGTCCAAGGTGCAATTTTCCTTTTCAGTGCGACAATTTTACCTGTATCCCGATGCTTGAGACTGAGTGTCTAGAATGGCGTTCGTCCAAAAGAGACGCCTTTCAATTTTCTCCCATTGACTTACCTATTGGAGAGGGCGCAAAATTGACCTGACCTTATGTCACAGAATTCCAAATGCCTAGATGTACATTTTATACATTCTGTTACTCTTATCAATCGCTGAAAGTTTCAAGGCGATCGTTCAGTCGGTGTAGCTATGACGAACATTCAACTTTTTCTGAGGTGAGCTCACTTGACGTGACCTGGTGACCTGACTTTGAGCGACCTGGGTCTGAAATTTTAACATGTGCAGAAAGGATGCATAAATAGATTTTCTAAGAACGGCAGAGCATAGCGCCGCTGGCTCGGAGATATCTGCGAAAAACTGCAGGGCTCAGGGGGTTTCAAAACACCCCTACCCCGGCGCGATTTAACACATTTTTAACATCTGACCAATTCTGCCAATTCTTCGGCGTTGCATCGACGCAAGAGGGTCATTACCCTGTTACGTCGATGCGTTCGTAGCTAGACACGTAAAAACCATTATATGATGTGCGTCACTTCATCCAGGTGTTTTCCCGTTCGTCTAAGTTGGACGTTTTAAGCCAGGATCTGATGTAACTCCGTCGGTCCGGTCGTGTCGTTCTCCCCATTGTGTTGTCATTGTCGATTACGCACACACTTCTTGCAGAGTAATAATCCATCAAAGAGGATACAGTAAAAAAGTGTGACAATGGTTGAATACTTCCATTTCGCGTCTACCTGATGCGCCGAAGTCTTAGCACGTCTAGCTGGACGGCGGCTGCGTCTACACGTATCTGACGACCGCTAACTTTAGACGCTGCTAGCTTGGAAGTCTCCGTCCAACAGTTAGACGCCAAGTTAGAAGCCAAATTGGACGTCTGCTCACTGCTCAGTTAGACGCCAGTTGGACGCCAGTGGAAGTCTCCACCCAATGTGTAGTAAGCATTTATCTTATCATTTTATATCAGCAATCTAATTTCACGTAAACGTTGCAACTTCTCTATGCTGCAACTCTCAACTCCCCCACGAGACATGATTGCTCGTATGTACTGCAGCACAAACACGCATGACACATGCACATAACAAGATACACTGAGGGGAGAGTTGGCGCTCAGAGTCAGCGTTGTCAGGGGGAGGTGGGATCGAAGGAGAGACGTACGCCTGCGGCGATGGTGATCGTCTCCATTGGAGCAGGGGCCGATTCGAGATGGCGCACTAAGAAGCTAGTACCTATGTAAGACTAGGCGGCCAAGTGACATTTGAATGTAGTGACCAGCTGGGCGGTATTTTACACCAATCGGCTAGTGGCTCAGCGCGAACCGAAATCGCCTAGTGACACTTGAAATCAAGTGTCACTAGGGCATTAGTCCGCCAACGCGAATTGCCCCAGAGCTGACGTCCAACAAAATAGGTCTGTCGATGGTGATGTCACCGCCGGAAGGCACCTGAAAGGGAAAACAATCATTAACCCTCGCCCTGGCAGGGGGGTCGATGCGACCTCCCCTAAGGTTTTTCAAAGATAACGTAAAAACGGCAGCGCGCAGCGCCGTCAAATTTGGCACAGCTTATGGGGCAATCTTTTTACATATGACCTGAAAATTTCAGGTCCGGGTGACCTTGGGTCAGGTCACCAGGTCAGAAAAACCGGTACAAGGTCATAGTCAAATTTCAATTTTATTTTGCACCTGTCCAACTCACAGTTTTGCACTGATTTCCTTTAAACTTTCAGGATGTGCTAAGTTCACCGAGTTGTATAACATATAGTTCGGGTTTTTTTAGGTCACTGACCTGAGGTCAGTTAGAGGTCATTACGTCGTAATGTTAAGCCTATGGGAAAATACTAAATTCGGAAAATACTGGAGATATCCGCTTCGTTCTATCACTTTTGTGCTTTGAAACCACAGGTCTTAACAGCAGGTCACTTGGTGCCTCTTTGTGTGGTGTACTTATCCATGGGTCAGGTCAAATGAGGTCAACTGAGGTCAAATGACGTTTTTGCCAATAACTTGGCACATAATGACGCTAGAGCTTAAAGATGGTGTCATTGTGTTCCTGGTGATCAGCCGAATCGAATGATATGCGACATGATGCAATTTGATTAACTTGAACTTAATTAATTAATTTTAGTTTACTTAAAAATTAAGAAAAACTTTAAGTACACTTAATCAAGCTATAAAGTATATCATTCGACGCGCCTTGACGTGCTGAGTTCACTGGTGCTTTTCTTTTTGCTCTATCTTAACTAGGTCAAAAGTTATAAGCGAAAAAACTTTTGACCTGTTTTTAGCGAAATTTTTACATTTATACCCCCCCCCCCCAAACCCCCCTAAATATTGACCTAGAGCTACCAAATTTGCACAGGGGCGAGAACTCCAGGGGCCCACCTACCTACCAAATTTGGTGTTTCTAGGTGCCATAGGAGCCAATCGCGAGGGG